CTGATAATGGTGGCATAAGAGAGCTCACAATGCGTCGTCGAAATTATGGCATTATCGTTCAGGCCATATTTCGAGGGGGAGAATAAAAAGATTAGTTAAGAATGATATTCTTCCTCCATTAGAGCTCTCGGATTAAGAACAATGCAGAGAATCCATAAAAGAAAAGTATATAAAGAAAGATGACAAACGAAGCACATGAATTTTACAAATTATTCACACTGACATCTGTGGTCAGCTTTCCTGTAAAGAGTGTGGATGGTTATGATCCATTCACAGATGATTACTCCCATTATGACTATATTTATCCAATCAAAGAAAGAAAAGATGTATTGGATAAATTTAAGATATTAAAGATTAAGATAGTCAGGTCTGACCGTGGGGGAGTACTACGGTCGGCATACCCTAAAAGAATGGCATAGTAGCCCAGTATTCCACACCGGGCGAACCTCAGCAGAATAAAGTAGCTAAAAGAATCAATCGTACCCTGATAGATATGGTGGGCAGTATGATAAGACACTCCACCCTACAGTTGAGCCTGTGAATGGAGGTGTTAAAACCGCCATTCATATTCTCAATAGAGTATCAAGAAAGTTGGTGCCCAAAACACCGTATGAGTTGTGGACAGAAAGAGTACCCTCGCTAAACCACTTCCGTGAATGTGGGGGAGCCCTGCTGAGGCTAAAGTGTTTAACCCAAACATTGGGAAGTTATATCCCAAAACAGTAAGTTGCCATTTGTTTGGCTACCCAGAAAAGTCAAAAGGCTTTTGTTTTCTACTGTCCAGAAAGACATACAAAGTTTGTAGAAACGAGACACGTTGTCTTCCTAGAGGATGAATTGATGAGGGGAAGCATGGTAGCTCGAGAAATTGACCTTGAAGTGAAGCGGGTGTTTGCGCCCACTCTAATGATTCATGGGCCATTTTTCTCACTACCTATTGTCGCTGCACCGACAGTACTAAATACTGTGGTGCCAGCACCTGTTGTTATCCCACCTTTGGCAACAATGAATAACGATGAGGAACCTGTTCTTCAGGATCCTATAGAACCTATTGCCACACATGAGGGGGAGCAACAACAGCCTCAAACAGAAGATGTGCCAAATGTGAAGACCCCTAGAAGGTCTCAAAAAGTTAGAAAATCAGCTATTCTTGCTGATTATGAAGTGTACAACACTAAAGAATTTCAAATGGAGGATGATCCCACCTCATTTGAATAAGCCATGAAAAGTAATCATTCATCAAAGTGGCTTGAGGCCATAGAAGATAAAATGAAATCAATAAATGCCAATATAGTTTGGGACTTGGAAATAATTCCTAAAGGAGCTAAAATAGTAGGCTGTAAATGGGTCTACAAAATAAAACTTGACTCTCAAGAGAATATAGAGAGATATAAAGGGTGACTTGTGTCAAAAGGCTTTATGCAAAGAGAAGGGATTGATTACAATGAGACCTTTTCTTCAGTCTCATGTAAAGTTACCTTCAGAATCTTAATGGCATTAGTGACACATTACGATTAAGAATTACATCATGTGGATGTAAAGACGGCATTTCTCAACAGAGACTTGGAGGAAAATGTTAACATGGCACAACCGAAAGGTTTTGTCATGGAAGGAAAAGAACGAATGGGATGCTGCCTAAAGAAATCCATTCATGGATTAAAACAAGCTTCAAGACAGTGGTACTTGAAGTTTGATCAGACAATAAAGAATTTTGGGTTTAAAGAGAATGTAGAGGACAATTGTGTCTATACAAAGTAAAGAGAATGTAGATGACAATTGTGTCTATACAAAGTAAAGAGAATGTAGATGACAATTGTGTCAATACAAAGTTTAAGAATGGGAAGTTTATCTTCCTTGTCCTGTATGTAGATGATATCTTACTTGCTAGTAGTGATGTTAGTCTACTACTGGAGACAAAGAAATTTGATATGAAAGATCTTGGCGAAGCCTCGTTCGTTCTAGGGATCGAGATTCACCGAGAAAGAAGAAAAGGGTATAAGGACTGTCACAAAAGGCATACATGGAAAAGATCTTAAAGAAATTCAGTATGCACAAATGTAGTCCTCACCGCTCCTATAGTCAAGGCGGCTTAGATATGGGGATTTTTAATGCCCCAGAACCAATATGAGCTCAATCGATAAAGTAAAAGTGGTTCCATATGCTTCAAATTGTCGGAAGCTTGCAATATGCTCAAGTATGTACACGCCCTGACTTGGCATTTGTTACCGGGTTTTACTTGATAGATTCCAGAGCAATTCTGGAATAGAACACTGAAATTAGTAAAGAAAGTCTTGCATTATTTGCAAGGAACGAAAGGCCTCATGATGACATATAGAAGATCTGATTCACTCCACATGGTGGGATATTCAGATTCTGATTATGCGAGAGTGAATGCATATCCAGACGTGGATTTTCTATCATCTCGCAAAGGGGAGCTATTTTATGGAAAAGCTCAAAGCAAACTGTCACTACATCGTCCACAATGTATGACAGTTTGTAGCGTGTTATGAGGCAACGGGCAGGTGAACTAACTAACGAAGTTCATACCCAGTTTGAAGGTGGTTGACGACATCTATAGACCACTAAAGTAATACTGCGATTATAATCTGGCAGTACAGGATGCTCACAACATAAGTCAAGTGGTGCTGCCAAACACATTGACATAGAGTATTATGTTGTGAAAGATAAAGTCCGGGATCAAGTCATAAGTCTTGAGCATATAAGAACAGAAAGGATGCTCGCGGATCCGCTTACAAAAGGCTTACCACCCAACATGTTCAGAGGACATGGTGTTCAGAGAACATGTAGCTAGCTTGAGTTTAAGGGAAAGCCTAAAATATTCCTGGATAAAAGAAGGCCCAAAGATAAGTATCTATTTCAGAACAGAGTAGTGAGTTGTAGCTGTTAAGTCTATCGGCAATGGACCGTGACGATGAGACATGCTCTATGAGCTAATCTGTAATGGAATGAACAAAAGTAAATGATATGAAAGTGAAAGATGAAATGAGATCAAGGGGGAGAATGTTAGTTGATCTCCACCAATAGGCCCAACGGCCTATTGGGCCCTTGCCTCTGCTCCCTGATCGGAGGAGCCCAACCCTAACTGGTTGACGGGCCCCTGTCGCACAGCACATAAATAGAGGAGTGGGGACTGGGCTCAGCTAACAAGGTTCGCCGGAGCCGCCACATCCACCAAAGAAAACCCTAATCCGATCTAAAGACGTGCTGCCAGCGACGGGATGAGCCCGCCACCACCGCCGTCGCTCCCACTGCAGGGCCACCATCGGACCACTACAGTACCAGCACTGGACTTCACCTCCTCACCACTACGACGTCTACTACACCGACGGCATCGGCGTCTACGCTTGCCGATGCGTTGCAACAGAGACAGGCAAGGAGCCTAACCGGATCTACGGGTCACAGTGAGGTACACACATTCGATCCTAACAATGAGCAGTAGCTGGTCCACGCGTTTCCTAGGCCAAATACATGGTATTGCCTTTGACTGTGACTAGTGGTCGATCCAACGTTTCCTTGACCATCTACGTGGCCTTTGCCTGTGACTAGTGGTGGACCCGAAAACGAAGCAGGGGGCCCTAAAATATAGACGGCTAAAAATCTTACTAGCTGCACACCGCACGCTAATATATTATATATATATAATCATATATCAGAGAATAGACATGACGATATCAACTCAAAATACTGTGGCAAAATGTATAACATCGGCAAGTCCAATCCGCTGACCTTCCTCAACCGCTATGAGTCATATTTTCATCAACAACGTATTGCGGCGAAAGAACAAGTGTGGATGGTGTCATACAACCTGGAGGCTGGCGCCCAGATGTGGTACCTCCAGGTTCAGCAAGACGAGGGCACTGTACTATCATCAAATTCCAACTTTAAGAAAGCTCTGTCTTCCCTTACAGAAAACAAATGAAAAAACAAATTTCAGCACATAACAGGTGGTCGATGCAATCAAATTGCCAGCTGTGTTAGTTTTTTGTCCACAGCCCTGTGAGTCAGCACTAGCAAGAGAATCAGATAAAAGTACCATGATTAACACAACTGGGCTTTCTATTGTATTATTGTTGAAGTTAGTTTTCCTAGACCTGAAAAGCCGAGCAACAAACAAAAGAAGCAAACTGCATGAGAATAGAAGATTATATCTGCAAAGTGAAGCAGAGTATTGGCATTTAGCCCAAGCACTTCTCTAAACAAAGAGACTTATCTTTCTCTGGATTAAAATACAATTACCGCAAGAGAAGCAGCAGAGTATTGGCATTTTGCATTTTTACTGAACCCCTGGCTGCAGCAAGGCTAACAACACAATTACCGAACGCGCAATGGTCAATGACAGATGAAAAAAGTCAGAAAATGTGCTTATTTTTCAATGGGCTTATTTGTAAACAAACAGATTAAACACTGTTAAGGCAGAAAAAATAGGGGTGCCCAAATCTAAACTCAAAGTTCTTGTGAAGGTATGTCGTCTGCAGTGTGGCTGCGTACAGCCAGCCCAAGACTACTCAAAAACATGGAACGCAGTGTGGCTGCATACATAATATTCAGGCATCATACAAATTTGTCCTAAAAAACACTGCTGGAGCATGTGGCCATACAATTGTGTGACTGAATGAAAGATGAAAGACAATGATTCCTAGCAATACAGCTGCGTCAAATATATGAGACTAAAGCTGACACCATTCATTCATCATCGCTTCGAAGGATCTGCTTGTGACACCAGTACGTGCACACATGACTGTTTGAGACTTGAAAGACGATTCAATTAAGCAGCACAGCCGACTTATATGAGCTACCCAACACCAAACTCTACTGCTATCCAGACAATCAGGCGTAGTACACATGTTCGCTTCCCCCCCAAGTCCATGCCGCCGCCGGATGCCCCACGCTCACCATTGTGCTCCCAGTGTAGGCAGCGCCAGGAGATGCAACTGGCATTAGTTGGTAACCAGGATGCCCAGCGCCTACTACTGGTCCGGTCACGCCATGACTTGCATCGCAGCGCCTACGTCCATCTGTGGTGGCATTAGTTGATAACCAGGATGCCCAGCGCCTACTACTGGTCTGCTCACACCATGACTTTGCATCGCAGCGCCTACGTCCATCTGTGGCCAATACACGCCGGTACCACTGCTGCTATGATAACTCATATCCTGCTGGCCGTGGGGTAACCATACCGGGTTGACCTGCTGGTGTGCCAGACCAGCGTGGTACTGGATCTCAGGGTTCGCCACAACAGTGTCATATGACATGCCACCTATGACTTGCATGCAGTGCTGATCCATTTCACTGACCCCGTAGATGCTCTCAGTCAGTTCGCTGCGACTTCTGCTTGTAATTGCAGTACCCACAACTGTGATGTTGCCGATGTCAGATGTCAATATGCCCTCGGCAGCATCCCACATCCAAACTGGAGCACTGCTGCCATTCAGTATGTTGTTCTCAGGAACAGAGATGGGTCCAGGCAACACATGAGCGGTAGACAGAGCTGATGCCCCCTGTGTGAAGCCACACACATTTGCAGCGTAGCTGATCTGCACGTTTCCTTGGCCATCTACATGGTATTGCCTTTGACTGTGACTCACACGATGTTCTCCCCAAGTGTACCCAGGTAGTGAAACCGTTTGAGTTGGTTCTGAGCGGCTCACAGCAACCACATGGGTGGAGTCGAATTGTTTCTCTACTTGCTCCAACTAGTCAGATAACTCCTGCATGATTTTTAACACTAGAGAGTTGGCTTCCTTTTCAGTAAGATCTGATGCTAATGTAGCTGAACCATTTGTGCTTCCTTGGTCAGAAGCAGCACTGCTCCTCCCTAGATGCTTGCTAATTTTCCCATCCTCCCGGTTCTCAGGTTCTGTTTTAATCCCAGATTGTGTAGCAGTGGAAGTATGCAGGGTTTCTTTATCCTGACTCTTAGTTTCCAATATGGACGTTGATAAATTATCAGATGATGTCATGTGCTTCTCTGCCTGTACGGCTGTACCATTTGCCTGGGATTCTGCAGGTGCAGCTCTATGTATTCAGGTTGATGGGCATGCTCTCTATTTCACTTGTTTTTGCTGGCACTGCATCCTGCAAAACAGTGCTTTGATTCCCAGATGGATGGTTTGGAGCAGGTATTGCCATGCAGTTCACCCCACCAGCCTCAGGCCGTTCTTTCTTGCTTGGCTCTTTAACTTCTGCGCACATGATACTGTCACACCCATGGGGATCCTTGGCATGCTGTTCATCATGCTGATTCTTTCCCAATTGCTTTGTCTGCTTAGGACTAGCACAGCTATTTGTTGTATCATCATCCACTTCCTTGGCAACTGTTTTCTCCTGATTGGATGCAACTGAAACATCCCCAAGCATTATGCTCCCCACAGTAAAGCCTCTAGCCAAAGGAGTCTGCATGGTGATTATAGAACTGTTGATAACAACGCCTGATACAGGAGCTTTAAGCAAACCTGATGTTTCTGTATTCTTAGTTCCAAACACACATGGTGACACAGGTCTGTTCTTGCTTTGTGTTGAGAGGTCCACATGAGGTTTAGCTTCAGCATTTGGCGCATTTACATGAGTCCCAGAAACAGTTGTAATATCTTCTGTGCTTTCAGCTATGTTTGATCTCTCCCTTAGAACTCTCTCCTGTGGATGAACTTGCCTTTGCCTATTCTCCATCTGCAAACGCTTTGGAGAACTGTTCTCGTGTGACTGTGATGCACTTTTCCAGGCAATGTGTTCCATCATGCTGTTTTCATTGTTCTTTGCTGATGGTATGACATTATGAATCAAAGACCCTTTGTTGACACCTGCAGGTCCTGATGCTGGAGTGCAGCCCCTTAAAATTCTTCTATGTGAATGAACTTGCCTTCTCTTTTCCTCCATCTGCAAATGCATTGGAGTCCTGCTTTCATTTGTGTGTGACACGCCTTTCAGGTCAATTGGTTCCATAATCTTGATTTCAGTGTTCTTGACTGGGGAAATGGTGTTCGGAATCAAAGGACTTATGTTAGCAGCTGCAGTGTCTGATGCTGGAGTGGAGCCCCTTGAAATACTCTCCTGTTTATGAACTTGTCCTTCCCTATCCTCCGTCTGCAAAAGCTTTGGAGCATTACTATCATGTGACTCTGCTTCAGTTTTCTGGGCAATGTGTTCCAGCATGCTAATGTCAGTTTTCTTGGCTGCACACATCACATTCTGAGTGGAGCTGATAGCAGCTGCAGTATTCTTCGCGGCACTTCCAGCATTTTGTTTACAAAGATTTTTGTTTGTTTCTTGTGGCACATCATTGGACATATGATTCTGTACAAACAAACATCTCTTCAGTTCTTCCAGTTTTGCATTAGCTTTTGCCTTTTGTTGAAGTTTTCCCCTCTCCTCTTCCTGCAGTTGTTTTGGATGCTGTGCAGACAATTCTCTCCTTGAAAGCTGAATGAACCAAATAAACATAGTTAGCAACAATAAATAAATTAATACAAGATTCTTGGAGAAATGACACATCACTAAGACTTGTCTGTGCTGTTTGCCCATTTTTCACATTTTATTTATGTACAAGTGTCACTCTTTTTGGTACTCTTTTAAGAAATTTGACAGCAACGGAAATGGAGCAACCTATAATGAAAAGGATGCACCTATATAGGATGTGTGAAAAACTGTAGGAAAAGAGTCCAACCAAGTTCAACTTCTACAGGACAAGCATTAAATCTTAACATCATAGATGAATATATCAAGTAGAAGCATTCCTAGAAGCAACAGAAATATCTTTTTATATTTTATGATTGATTAGCATGGCATTTCATTTCAATGTAAACTGGTCTCACAATTGCAACACAGTTTGGTGACCATGATACCATGATATGAAATCAACTATTCCTAATCGAGTATTAGACAACACTTAGTTGACAAAGGAAGAAAATAACATGGCATCACACAACATGACAATTGGGTACCTCAATGTCATAACCAGGAGAGTTAACCATATCATCAACAGCTCTCCCCTGCACCTGCAAAGAAGTGCCCTCAGGAAATGATTGATCTTGATAAGTATCTGTCCTTACAACTGGCAAAGAGTCAACTGTAGAGTGATCTTTCCATCCATGTCCAGGCATGCTAAATGAAATATCCTCAGCAGAACTACCATGCCTGTTTCTTAATGCATTCGATCTGGCATATACATGGTAATCAGCAGATTCACCAGGTGCATCATTTGACTTCAGACTATGTACAAATGGCTGTGTGCTCAAGTCTTCTGGTTTGGCAATAAATGTTGCCTCATGTTCGATGTTTTCATTCTCCATCTGTAGTTGTTTTGCATATTTGGTAGGAGACTCTCCATCTTGGATGCTAAATGAACCAAATAAACAGAAGTTACAATAACACAAATATAAGATTCAGGGACAATGGACACCTCAGGTCCTTCTTTCACTTTGCTTGCCTGCTTTAGTGCTTTTAGTTCTTTTTATTTATATGCATGCACAACTTTCAAGATACTCAATAAACACTGTACATGGAGTAACAATGTATAGGAAAGACTAGCTTTTGGAGGATAGAAATCAATGTTACCATTGATATTGATGAACTTATTGAATAGAAGAATTTCTGAACACAAACATCTCTTCATACTGTATCTTTGAATGATATGCTAACTATGGCATTTAAGTATCAATTGGTCTCATCATAATAACAAAACAGTTTTGTGGCCTTGATAATGTCGTAGAAAAGCATGCATTCCTGGACAGGTACAAGATATCATTTAATTGACAATAGTAGAAAATAGCATGGTGTCATACAAAGTGAAAACTTCATACCTCAATTTCATAACGAGGAGAGTTAAGAATATCATCAGTTAGCACATGTCCTTGCTGAGAGGTGTTCCAAGGAAAAGATTGATCTTGATGAGAATCTGTCATAACTGGCAAAGAGTCAACTGCAGGGTGACCTTCCCATCCATGTCTCGAAATGTTAAATGGAATATCCTCAGCACAACCAAGCTTGTTCATCAAAGCATTCCATCCTCCATATACATGGGAATCACCAGATTTACCAGGTGCATCATTTGACTTCTGATTTTGTACAAATTCCAGTTTTGCAATAGACTTTGCCTTTTGTTGACTTTTTCCCCTCTCCTCTCCCTGTGGTTGTGAATTTTGAGCAGACAACTCTCTTCTTGAATGCTGAATAAATCAATTAAACAAAAGTTCAAACAACAAACACTAAGATTTATGGAAATCGGGTAGTTAATTCGTCCTTTTACAATGTTGCTTGCTCACTTTTAAGACTTTATTTATGTTATGCCAAATTCTTGAGTATTACGTTCAGAAATTAGGAGGCAATACAAGTGGAGTAATAATAAGGAAATGAACTTGCCTAAATAGAACATGTAAGAATTACACTATATAGGACAAGGGTGCATATTTTGAAGGATATGCATCAACTTTAACATGGATACAGATGAATTTACATTTATATAAACCTCTCTTTACATGTCTAGGTACTAACTCAGTATATCTCGTACTAACAAAATTACAAAACATTTCAGTGACCCTGATTATGTTACAGGAAAAGTGTATTCCAGATCAAGTGCAATACAATATTAACGATACTGGTGGAAAATTACATTGCATCATGCAAAATGGCAATCAAGTACCTGGATTTCATGAGGAGATTTCAGCAAATCATTAGCAGTTCTCGCATGCCCCTGCTGTGAGCAGTTCTCAGCAAGTGGTTGATCTTCATGATTATTTGCTGTAGAGACTGGCAAAGCGTAAACAGTAGAGTGTTCCTTCCATCCATGTCCCCAGATATTAGATGCAGTGTCCGTAGCTGAACTGCAACAGAGGTTTGTTGGTGTATCTGATGGATAAGTCTCATGTGTGGCTGGTCTTTGTGGGGCTGTGCTCCTCACATGGTCCTTGTGGCTGTTTTTCTGTTTTTAGGACAGCATCTTAGACTAGAGGACAGCATCTTAGAGGACAGCATCTTAGACTAGAGGACAGCATCTTAGCTAGGACAGCATATTAGCATCTTAGACTAGCATCTTAGACTAACATCTTGGCATATGCTTGGCTGGCTAGTAGCCTATAAATATGTAACCCCAACCCCTCAGGTTGGTATAGCATTTGTGTGAGTTTGTGTGAGAAATATACAAGAAAATTGCCCCAACTCCTAGTGTCATCCTCTCTCGATGAGAGTAAGAATTCTCCTACTATCAAGAGTGAGAATTCAGCGACTAACAGTATCCACTACTCCATATACATGATTATCAGCAGAGTTGCCCATCTTTTTAGCTTCACTGAATTCAGTAACATGTCCTTCTGACAGATCAGTCGTTACCAGAATAGCAGACATATTTGATGTACCAACCAACACATGCTTACTTCTTTCAGAAACATAATTAGCCATATCAAAGGCAGAGGTGATAAAGCTGGTGGCAGCGCTGAAGGGGACATCATTTGCTAGATGATCTGCTTTTAAATTGAGGCTTTTGGGACATTCAACCTTGGATTCCTTGCACAAAGATATTTCGGGCATGTTACAGGCACGAAGATTTCTAGCTTTGATGTTTAGACACTTAATTTTCTCTAACAGTGCCACATTCTCCTTGATGACAGGTTGCTTCTCAAGTGCATCTGAATGGTTACCTTTGACCTTTCCAAGTATGTGATGAGGTAGGCACTTTATTTTCTCTAGCAGTGCCACATCCTTCTTGATGACAGGTTGCTTCTCAAGTGCATCTGAATGGTTATCTTTGACCTTTTCAAGTATGAGATGAGGTAAACTTTTGACAAAAGTATCAACAGGCACATGAGCATAACAGGAATCATTGTTTTCTGGGTGATAAACCCCATGTGGACCATGCCTTTCTTCTCCCCCCTGGTTCAGAACGGATTGACCATCATGAGTAAATGGTTCAACAGGGAAGCTGACAGTCTTGTCTGCAGGCTTGCCTGCACGGACCATATGATACCACTCCTCAAAGACGAATTCCATTCCTGTCAGGAGGATGATGCCAGTAATCAATACATGGAGGAGGCATACATATATAAGGAATTTGTGTAGCATGTAGTTGAGCCTATTCTGGTTCCCAAGAGAAATTTGCAGTAGAAACAGGATCACCTCCTGACAAAACAAATATATCTCATCATATGGAAAGGAAAGTAAAATTGTATAAAAGAAAATTTCTATGATAACCTAAGTTATGAAATATAAAATAATGGGTGAGAATCAGTGAACAAGGTGTGCACCAGTTAACGGGATCTTTCTTCGTTCATCTCGTGCCGCGATAACAACAGAGCTAAAAGATGGTCGCCCTTGAAAACAATGGCCTGCAAATGAGAAGACACTAAGTAAACAACATATGTTGTAGGTATATTAAATAAACTATATGGAACTGACAAAGCATTTAGCACCACTAACATAAATTTATCAAGAATACAGTTTATTGTTGGGCAAAATTATGATTTTAGATATGTAACTGTAACAACTACAAGCAGACTTAGGCAAGATAATCTGGTGGTACATGTAGACACCTTGTTGACCATTTGACTGAGAGTTCTTGGAATCAAGTACTGGGAAATCATCTGCACATATGGTAAACCCCTTTCTGTGTGATGTAGGCCTCTGCATTGGCAAAATATATTATTGTTTTATACATGACATCTATATGTGTTCAGTTAGCTGACAACATGAATAACATATGGAATGCATACCTTTTTGGCAATAGTCCTTAATGGGGCTTTCAGAACATCCAAGAAAGAAATTTGAGAATGTGCAAATTTCCAGCTTCCTGATCTTAACTCTGTGCTTTGAGGACGGCTTATCGCAGTTACAGAATCATGTGAAGTTCGACCACAAGAAACAGGTGAGTCGAGCAAGTCACTTTCATCTGTCGACATGCTTGAGCTTACTGGAGAAGAAGGGTGGTCATTGATGTTCACAAATGACCCAGAACCTTCACCCTTCTTGAGAGATAGTAGTGATGATGAACCCCATGCATTTGGTACTAGACGCATTGGCCTGTCACCCCATGGTAGAGCACCCCTGCATCCATTCCAACATCCCATCAGATAGCAAAATATCACCAACAAGGTACAGGGAAACAGTAAAAAAATGTCTAGATCAGAAAAAACACACAAGGGATCCTCGTGACTGCATATTATCAAGACCGCTTCAACACTGAATCAATACTATTCATGCATCAAAGCTAACAAGACTACTAGACACAGTTCAGACTTTAGAGGAAATTGCTAAACAGCAATCACAGGGAAACAGTCAGAAATTGTTTAAACTAGTATTTAGTATTTATCCAGCCAATACACACAAGGGATCCCAATGGCAGACTAAAAGACTACCATTTTGACACTGAATCAACATGGCTTATGCATCTAAACCAGCATAGCTACTTGACAAAATCGGGACCATTATTTCAATCAGGGGACAAAAAAATACAAAAGCATTCCATTATTTTACTTAAAGGTAGTGCAAACTTAACTGTGCCTCCATCCATCAACTATAAAAATCATTGTGAAGCTATATAAACACATAAACATTGGAAAGGGAACAACCCGCTCCGGAATGAAGCCCCAGTGGGTGATAAGCACAATTCAAAACCCCCAATTCAACTAAGAATGGCATCTCCAGATGATGATTTACGCCGGGGAAAAGAAATGTCACCTCTGGGTTGGCAAATCAGTGGGCTTCGGGGCCGTCTCAACAACCCCCGCGGCCGGCGTCCTCCCCGGAGCCGCAGCGGCAGCAGCAAACCCCCACCTGCAGCGCTAAACCCTAAACCCTTGTAGTCGGGGAGCACCAACTGAACCCAATGGAAACGCAAAGAGATAGAAATGGGAAGAAGAATAAGGACGCGAAGCGGATGGGACCTCTTGTCGGCGGCGAGTGCCCGCGCCGGTGCCGCGGCCATGTCTTCCCCGCTCCTGCGGGATTCGGAGCCGCGGCGGTGGCGGCGAGCGGCACGCGATGGGTAGTGGGGTGCTGGAGACGGAGGCGGCGGCGGCGGCGGCAGGTTATCGTGGGGGTCGGCCGCGGCAGGGAGAGGCGGAAACAGCAGACGACGAAGGGAAAAAGAAAAAAGGAGTTCCAGCAGTGGAGTGGAGCAGCGGAGAGGGGGGGTGTCTATGACAAGGTGGGCCCCACTGAGAGGCCGGAGACGAATTGGAGATCGCGGGAGACCGGGACACATTGTCAGTGACGGAGAGCGGGTGTGTATGACAAGTGGGCCCCACTGAATGGGCGGAGACGAATGGGAGACCCGGACATATTGTCAGGGACTCTAGAACGAGCGACACGACCGCTGCAGAAAATCCTTCTGATTTTGTGCAAATTTTAATCGTCTGTTGCTTTCAACTCATATTTGCGATTTTTTTTTCAAAACTCTAAAAAATTTGAATTTACCTCGCGTATGCCAGAAAAAACGATCTAACAAACAGAACTTATATAATAAAAAACATTAGGGGCTTGCTTGGTTTGTGGTAAAATTTTGTCATACTAAAGATTTAGCAAGTAAAATTTGGACAATAAAATTTGCCATAAATTTAGCAAGACAAATATGAGAGGTTGGCAAATTTTGTTAGCAAACCAAATGACAGGAAAAATCATAACTTATCAAATCTCTGGCTTGCGTATTTTGAAAGTCAATCAAGCAGCACGAGGCGGCAATTCAATTGACCCAGAAACAACAAATTTTGAAAGAAATTTTAAAAAATGTACGCATGCTTGCCATTAATTTTTGAACTACAAAAATCTGTATTGACCTCGTGTTTCGCTGAAAACCAGTTAAACAGACTGAATTTAGCTGGTATAACAAACATAAATTAGAATGCAGACCATTGAGTGCAGTTCTACGCAAAATCCATTGAAACGACAGAATATTAGGCAAAACAACAAAAAATTTCAAAGAAACACAAATTGTAAAACAGAAAAAAAAAAACACAACAAAACAGAGTTGCAATACCACATCTCCTTTTCACGTATTCAGCACAAGAACACACAAGATCCATAAGTCAATTCACGACGAGATCATCAGAAATTGTGGAAAAACTGATTTTAGTCATATAAACTACTGCCCAGAAACTCATTTCTCCTACACCAGATTGAATAGGGAGAAAAGGAGCAGTGCACTAGATATCGTTCAACTCATTAATCATTATACATCAGGAGCTGCCTGCTGAACTGCTGCGCCTGGAAATGTTTCGCCTGCAGGAAAACTGGGGAATGCAGCGTCAGTCCCTTGGAAAGGCTGGCCAGCTGGTGTCCCGCCAAAGCTGTTGTCATTCCCACCACATATCAACGGTGCAGCAGCAGCTGGCTGGACTAGGCCACCAGGAGACATTGGCGACATTGAAGATGTATCGGCCAGTGATTGTTGAGGTGCGAGAGCAGGAACAGGTGGTGCTGCTGGTCCAGGGATAGGGATAGGGATAGGGACAGGGACAGGGACAGGTGCAGCAGGTCCGGCTGCTCCAGCTGCAGGAGGCAGCACATCGAAACCAGATCTTGCTCGGGGCCTGCGCTCCAGTGCTGCCCCATGGTCACGGCTCCTGCTCCTGCTACGACTCCGGCTGCTGCTGCGGCTCCGACTACGGCTCCAGCTCCTGCTGCGGCTTCTGCTGCGTGACCAGCTCCTGCTACGGCTCCTGCTCCTACTAATGCTCCTGCTGTCACTTCTTCTGTCATAACCCCGTGACTGGCCTCTATCTGGGCTGCGGCTGTAGCTCTGATCCCTACCCTTGTCTCCAAATCCTCGACGGTTATCATATCGTCCCCGTCCATCTGAGACAAACCGGTCATGTGGGCCTCGGTCAGAACGTCCCCTCCCGCCAAATCCACGGCCCCTGCCACCACGTCCACCAGAAAAATCTCCCCTGCCACGCCCACCAAAACCGGGAGAATCACCCCTGCCACGCCCACCAAAACAGGAAAAATCACCCCTGCCACGTCCACCAAAACCAGAAGAATCACCCCTGCCACCACGTCCACCAAAGCCCCCAGGGCTTGATCCGCCTCTACTGCCAAAACCACCAGATCCACGCTCCCCTCTACCACCAAAACCACCTGACCCAGGGCCATCTCGTCCACCAAAGCCACCTGGGCCCTTTCTGCCACCAAAGCCACCAGGACCCTCCCGTTCCCGGCCACCAAAGCCACCAGGGCCCTCATGGCCACCAAAGCCACCAGGGCCTTCCCGGCCACCGAAGCCACCAGGGCCACCCCGGCCACCCAAGCCATCAGGGCCTTCCCGGCCACCAAACATTGCTGGGCTTTCTCGAACACCAAATCCACCTGGGCCCTCACGACCACCGAAACCTCCAGGACCCTCCCTAACACCACCATAACCAACAGGGCCACCAGCACCAGGTTCAAAACGACGACCACCAGGCCCATCCCAGCGACTCATCCCAGCAGCCTGGTTTCTTGGACCTCCAGAAGCACTGCGTGCAGCCATGTCTTGCAGCTGTGGAGGGACATGCTGGTTGGCACCTTGCAAGAGTTTCACCAAATCACCAGCATATTTCCAATCTTGTTCAGAGAAAAAAGTGTACGAGACACCAGTAGCGCCAGCTCTTCCTGTACGCCCTATGCGATGCACATAGTCTTCTATCCCAGTTGGAAAGTCATAATTGATTACCACTCTGGAAAAAAACACATGGTGCAGTACAAATGAGCAACAGAAATTTGTCAGTGTTCAGTAAGGTAATATTGGACATTGAAATATTTTAAGGATTTAATATCTCACAATCAAATAAGCCTCACCTGATATCTTTGATATCAAGTCCACGAGCAGCAACATCTGTGGCTACTAATATTGGAGCCCTGCCAGTTCGAAACTGATTGAGAACATTATCTCTTTCGGCCTGCGATTTATCACCATGAATGCTTACAGCATTAAAATTGCGACCAATGCCACGAGCAAGCTGGTCACACATCTTCTTAGTCGAGCAAAATATGATGATTTTTGAGCCCCTTTCTTGATCTCTAAGAATCTGCTCTAGGCGTCGCTGCTTGTCCATAGGCGGAACCACCTCTACATACTGCAAACAAACAGGAGCCTTAGAAGTGGATCATCCTAGAAACAACCACATAATATATTACAGATAAAGGCTGACACATAGAAATTAGGTGCCAAAGAATGCTTTTCCAAACTACTTAACAATAATAGGAATTCTGACACCAGTCAGCAATGGCATTTCAAGGACTATGCATCCTAAGGAAAGGCAAAGCATAAAGTATGAAAAGAAACAATCATAATTTCACTAGAATACCTGAGTGATGGATTTGTTGGCAACAAGTTCATCGACGCTGCCAATGTTGACCTGGACAGGATCTCTTAGTAAATCCCCAGCTATTTTTGTCACCTCCTTTGGCCAAGTGGCAGTGTACATTAGAGTCTGTCTAGTATTAGGAATCTCATCCACAATCTTCCGTATTTGTGGCTCAAACCCCATGTCAAGCATACGGTCTGCTTCATCAAGCACAAGTAATGAAACCTGATGGAGGCTAATCTTCTTCATCTCCAGAATATCATTAAGACGTCCAGGTGTTGCTACCACAATATCTGCTCCACGCTCAAGTTCTCTTAGCTGAGGGCCCTTTGAAGCTCCACCATATAGACACTGAAAAAGAACATATCAACAACGATTTCAATGTAAGAAATGTGACATGTCATCATTAGTAAACATAGTACCAGAAATAATGCACATATTCTACAAGGCACTTAGGTACAGAAATCTTGAATGATCGATGCACAGCAATATTGTTCAGAACCACACCAAGTTCATTTTCTAAGATAACTACTATAAAAAACACAGTAGGCCTAGGTGCCCCGATAGCCGCATCGACCTTTCTAAAGGTGAAGCTATCATAAACTTTTTGAAGAACAATACTTGAGTCTATGACTAAAAAAGGGCGTACCCGGTCAGAGAGAGCTCCCGCTCATGTAAGGGTCCAGGGAAGGTGTCGATGGCAAAGCCTTACCCTCACTTTGTCTAATGCGAGGAGACCATGACTCGAACCCGGACCTTCCGGTCACAGGCGGTAAGACTCTACCGCTTGCACCAGGCCCGCCCTTCAATACTTGAGTCTATGACTCTACGTTTTAAATCAATAGAGCATGTGGTGCAGGGAAGGGTGTCGATGGCAAGCCTTACCTCTACTCTTGTAATGCGAGGAGACCTGCACATTTAACCCGGACCTTCCGGTCACAGTCGGTAAGACTCTACCGCTTGCACCAAGCCCGCCCTCAATACTTGAGTCTATGACTCTACGTTTTAAAATCAATAGAGCACATTATTAACATTTAATATCCAATAACTTAATTACTATGCATTGTCTAACAAAACAGAAAAAATGTGCACATAGTTTCAGGACTACAATTGGTTGTGATCAATGCTTTATTATTCTATGCAAGAAAAGATAAGGCCATAATAAAAGATATCAGGTCAGAACTTACTGTGCAGGAAATTCTAGATGATTGACCAAACTTAACTACTTCGTCTTGTATTTGTGAAGCAAGCTCGCGAGTAGGGGCCAAAACCAATACCGTAGGACCCAACATCGGATTATTGTGGCATCTCCTTAGATGTATAAAAGCAGGAATTAGGTACCCCAGCGTCTTTCCAGACCCTGTCTTGGCAATAGCTACTATGTCCCGGTTTTGCAGTGCAACAGGCCATGTCTGAGCTTGAATTGGAGTGGGATTTGAAAAGCCTGCTGCATGGATCTGAAATGAAAAAAAAAATGAATAAGCATCATAAGTGCATGCCCACCTGCACCAGATAATTGGTATTTTCCATAGCGAGTAAAAAATGGTTCCAAACAATGAGAAAGTGGTTAAATTCTATCCTAGGTGAATATGGCTGCTTACTTAAGCAACTCATGGCATGAAGAAGCTCTTTGTTGATTCAG